GTATCGTGCACGGTAAGTCTGGGCCGCAAGCTTAGGGTTTTAACTGCTGTTCGCACTTAAATGCAACCGTTAGTCGTTGGAATCCGCATGTTTAACCGTGTCATCTTTACTTGTGCAGGGTCTCCTCTCCGCAGAGTTTGTGTTTGAAGCTCTGAAGGACTGCGCGGCCTCAGCTCTAACGAGGCTGCGACGTACATGAGGCGCCTTAGCACGGTATCGTGCACGGCGGGCATGGCCTGGCATGATGCGGTTCGGGGGACATGGTCTGGCATAATGCGGTTTGGGGGGCATGGCCTGGCATGATGTGATTGGGGGGCATGGCCTGGCATGATGCGGTTTGGGGGGCATGGCCTGGCATGATGCGGTTCGGGCGGCATGGCCTGGCAAAATGCGGTTTGGGGGGCATGGCCTGGCATGATGCGGTTCGGGCGGCATGGCCTGGCAAAATGCGGTTTGGGGGGCATGGCCTGGCATGATGCGGTTCGGGGGGCATGGCCTGGCATGATGCGGTTCGGGGGGTTTCGTTTGTGTGTGTGAGCAGACTTGCAGACTTTGTCATTAGTGCAACTCATGCATCAGGATGCTGCTGTTTTTGCTGCTCTAATTACCGAGCCTCGTCAATCTTGTAACACAAAGACGAACTTCTGCACTCATCCCTTCGACTCGCATACTTTGCACTTCCGAATTCGAGCAGCTTCAGTGTTTGACTAGTCCGCACTTCACTTGTGATCCGTTTGTCCCCTCACTCTGATCAGCTATGTGCCCCAAATTTAGTTCGCTGTGCCGGACATTATGTTGTCGTTCATCCGCCTCCTGCACGTGCTTGAGAGTATCTGTTGCACTACTTGAATTGCAAGAGCATCGCACCGCATTCAACATCAGGTGGTTTTCGTACGTACCACGCTGTTCGATGTTGCTGCCGCGATAGGGAAGCGACGCTCTGCTGGGTTAACTGGTCCTGTCGAGTTCTGGTACGACCCTCCGGTATCTGCTCCTGATGCTGACGTCGCTCCCTCCTTCGCCTTTCTCCGTTTCTAAAGGTTTATCTATGAGGTTTCGAGGTAAAGAGTGCCAGTCCGATGCCTCCATTCTTATCGACACTGGGAACATGACTTCAGCCCTCTTAAGTGCAGTTTTGCTCGTCACATGGGTTTGGCGATTCAACCGTCGGTTGTACATCCCACCCTAACGGTCATACATTAGGATTGCTGGCTGCACCGCCCCCCCAGGTGGTCCGTACTGCAGGACCAAAGCGTGGCACTGCACTCGGGGGACAGTGAGCTCACTAACTTGCTGTTTGTTGATGATTCATCACTCTTAGCCACTGGCTGCGAGCGGGCACAATGCCTTCTTGGTTACTCGAGATGTTTTGCAAGGCGACTGGGATGGCTGCTAACGGAGCCAAGTGTGAGGTGCTTGTCTTAGGGGCACACCTACTGAGTGGGGGTCGCTCGTGGGTTACGTGTACCGGCTGGGCGGGGAGATGTTGCGTGTATTGCCCCATAATGAATCGGCACAGTACCTCGGGATGCACTACGGGACAGGCCAACGGTTTGCCGCCTGCACTTCTCTCTGTCGTGAAAAGTTACGTACCGTACCCAAGCTCTACTTGTCATTTTATAATGCGCTGGCCTTGCCTGTCCTTTCCTACGAAGTGCAAGTGTGGGGATCCGGGTTTTTTAATGTGAACTTGGAGAATGCCGAGTGACAAATCCATATGGTCCAGGAGCAGCGCGCGTTCATATGGACGGTGGTAGGGGCCAGGAGCCTAACTAAGCTTCTGCCGTACTGTGAGCTGTCACAGAGGCCACTACAATTATGTTTTGGAAAGTCGGGCACCCAATGTTACAGAGCTTTTGTCGCTGACCTGCACTTGGCCGCAACACAGAATGTTGGGCCAGCAAGGTCACAACACTTTCTTACCAGCTTG